TCTCACAATTCGGACTAAGAAGAGGGATGTCGTAATCATAATCAAATTTTGAGAACACAATAAACATTTCCATATATAGAATTTCCTTATGTTGAACCATTCCAACATAAAATTCATATATATACTTGACTAAAACTGATTAAAATCTCAAGCTAAGCTTTTAGAATTGGAATGAAGTATAATTTCCTCTCCCTTAATTATAGCAAAACAACTTTTCAAACCCTGCAAAGTACATTTTGCAAATTGAAACTTTTATTTTCTATAATTAACATTTCTAACTTGCAACACCTAACATAATAATCATTCTCCCACTAACATGATAAATATTAGCATAACACTTATGCTCCCACTAGCTTTAACATGTATCTAGAAATCAGCTCGACTTCTAGAAATCAATACTTTATTGACTTTCTTACCAAAGTTCAGATTTCTGATACGTGATGCTTTGATAAGACTTTATCAAAATCACACACCTTTCCTTAGATAGCTCACATGTGTGTCTAAACAATTTTTAGAAATATGAAGAGGGATGTTGTAATCATAGTCTCAATTGTTTAGACCTTTTCCATTTCTCACAAGTCCATGTTAGTGTGCCGGTTAACCACACACGCTTCACTATCGACTCAGAGAATGCAAATATCACAATTGCTATCTACTTAAAATCTACTTAGTGAAAGTGTTTCCTCACCATCATTTTCATGAATCGGAGAGAAACCTTATGACACTTAGATTTTTATGGTGTATGTGTTCCTATCCATGTGAATTTGTCAAAACCATAATCACAAGACAAGGTTAGTGACAAATCCAAACTCATATGGACTGAACTTGTTCATTCTTAATTTCTTGCCACTTGGCAGCATAAGGGCCTACCACTGCTTCCAAGTTGTTATGCAACCAACTGAGAACTCTCAGAACTCATATGCATAGTCAACTTAAACTGGAATGGGCACAGAAACAAGAATATGTCAACACGATAGGCTATAAACCTCAAGTAGTGTGCTAGTGATAAACAACATGTTTTATTATTGATTAGTTCTTGAAACTTTTCAAGATCTTTAAGACTCCCATTGACCTCTTGACATATAAGATTCTCTTGTCAAGAACCAAAGAATAGTAATCTATAGATTCTATCATTCAGAGTCCAAATTACCAATTTAGTGTCCTTAAATTGCATGATCATTGGGGTTAAAGTTGTTAAATTGACTTATGCTAGTCAGTCTAACTATGATGACTAGTAAATTTTATTTGGTAACTAATAGAATTAATTCGTCTTGAAATCAACCACAGGAAAAAGGAGGGATTTGAATCTAAACGAGAGTATCTTTTATTCTTTGTTTTAAATCGTCTTTGTAGTCATTAATTAGGTATTTTAGTTTAAGTTTTTTCTAAACTTGTAAAATCAGATAAAAGCCACACTTTTAGTTGTTTTTAGTTTTGATTTTAGTAGTTATTTTATTAATTAAATACCATTCCCTGTGATCGACATATGATTTACCCGAGCTATTCCATAATCTGACAAGGTACACTACCTATAAATGTATAATTTAGCTAAGTAGTTAGGTTTATAAAATTAAAGCTAGATAGGCATATAAAGTGCACATCCATACACGTTCTCAAAGTGGGATACACAAACCAAATCCAAAATATGCCTTTCACTCCAGTTCTATTTCTCCTATTCCTACTTCTCCTAAGTCAGCTCTCCTTGACCGGAAATGGAATTGTGCTATGACCAATGAATTTAATGCTTTACTTAAATAGAATACATGGGATTTGATTCTTCGGTCATAGGATACTAATATAATTGGTTGTTATTGGATTTTTCGACATAAATTTAAGACAGACGAGTCTCTTGAGCGATACAAATTTCGTTTGGTTGTTAATGGTAATTCACAAGAGTTTGGTGTGGATTATGGCGAAACGTTTAGTCCTGTTGCCAAATTTGCAACAATCTGAATAGTTCTTATTCTTGCATTGAGTTATCACCGGCCTATTCACCAACTTGACGTCAAAAACACTTTTCTCCATGGGAATCTCAAGGAAATAGTCTACATGCACCAACCTCCAGGTTTTGTGGATCCAAGTTTTCCCGGATATGTTTGTAAGTTATGTAAGTCGTTATATAGGTTGAAGCTGTTGGAATAGTGTCTAAGGCTATAACTATATTCGGTGGTGCATGGTCCTTTTGGGTTGCCTTCACCATAGCAACTTGAAGGATGATTTGTTAAGAGAGAGTAAATATTATAAGGAATAATATTTAGCTATTTGATTAATATAAGTCATAAATTAATTGGTATTAATTTGGTGACTTAAAGAGATTAATTAAATAAGAGGGTATAAACTGTCAATTGTTTGATAGTTAGACTTTGGACTATAAATCCATTAGGATGGACTTTGGACGGTTTCTAAGAGCTTTAGGATAGCTCAAAATAGTCCATAAGGATATCTATGGAATGGATTTGGATAGCCTTAAGTGAAGATTATCCAATTAGGGTTTAGGGTGAAACCCTTAAGGAGTCTAAAGGTATAAATAGGCCCTTGGGGTGTGGAATTCGTGTACAACCTTTCAGAACCTAAAGCAAGGAACCTCTGGCCGAATTCCATCCCCTCTCCTCTCTCCTAAATCATCTTGCTTGCTATTGGTGTTTGTAAGCCATTAGAGGAGTGACAATTGTGACTCTAGAAGCTCCAAGACAAGAAGATCAACAAGGAACTCAAAGGTATGATTCTAGATCTGTTTTAATGTTGTTGTTTAACCTAATTAGCCATTAGAAGTCTTGGATTCAAAAGCATGTTTGATAGAAAGCCTAGATCCAAGCAATAGGGTTTTGCATGCGCACATAGGAAAGTTCTTATGGCTAAAACCCAACAGAAGCAAGCACCACGGCATTGGTATCAACGATTTTCTCCCTACTTGTTAAGTATCGGGGTTTTTTTTGCAGTAAGAGTGACAACTCTTTGTTTATTTTTCGAAAAATAATGAATATGTTTATCTACTTGTCTATGTCGATGACATAGTTCTTACGACTTCTTCCCCTCAGCTAAAGGTCCAAATCATCTCTTCCCTAAAATCTGATTTTCACATGAATGACCTCTTGGAAACTCACTTACTTCTTGGGTAATTCAGTTAGCTACTCTAAAGTCAGTATGTTTCTTTCACAACAAAAATACGCAGGTGATATTCTCAAGAGAGCCAAAATGGAAGACTATAAATCAGATGCTACACCAACAGACACTAACTCTAAGCTCAATATTCCGGTTGGTGATCTAGTTGCTGATCCTAGTGCCTATTGCCAGTTAGTTGGTGCTCTATAGTATCTAACATTTACTAGACCCGACATCGCCTATGTTGTTCACCAAATGTGTTTCTTCATGCATGCTCCACGGGAACCACACTTAAATGCTTTAAAACACATTCTCCATTATTTAAAAAGTACTCTTCAACTTGGCTTGCATCTGTACTCTAGCAAGCCATCTCAACTTATTGAATATACCGATGCCGATTGGGGTGGTTGTCCCGACACACATCCTTCGACATCCAAATATTGTGTATTCCTAGGTGATAATTTGATTTCATAGTCTATTAAACGACAACTGACTATGATCTGTTCAAGTGTTGAAGTCGAATACCTTGGGGTTGCTAATGTTGTTGCTGAGGCATGTTGGTTGCTTAATCTTCTTTTCGCGCTTCAAACTCCTCTCAAGATTGCTACTTTGGTGTATTGTGATAATGTTTCCGCTCTCTACTTATCTGGTAATCTCGTACAACACCAATTTACGAAACATATGAAATGGACATACACTTCGTCCGGGAAAAAGTTGCTCCTGTTCACATCCGTGTTCTACATATCCCTTCTGCTTATCAGTATGAATACATTTTCACCAAAGGATTGCCTCGTCAACTCTTCTTGGACTTCAGATCTAGTTTGAACATACGTCCTCCTCCCGCTCCAACTGAGGGGGTCTATTAGTCGATATTATTTCCTTGTTTATTGTATGTTATATTTGGCATTGATACCTTTGTATTTGTATTTATATCCACACAATAATGAATGAGAAGACAAGAATTAATTCATATTGTATTAGATTTCATTATGATGATAGATTGGGAACGAGCCGAGGATTGGTCGGGGAAAAACCCAAAATCTAAAGGGGAGAGAATTCGATTACATGCATCATTCGGGGATGGGGACGAGCTTAGGCACTCGACGATGGGGACACGGATGGTCAACCCCGCCTCATCCCGCCCCATTTCCATCCTTATGTGTAACTCCATGGATTTTAACTATCAACTTTGAGGAGTTCCCACATCGGTTTAACAAGGAAGGTCCACACTCCTCATTTTTTACATAATGATTTTTGGAGGCTCTTAGAGTTGGGGGTATTCCTAACCTAACCATTATTTGGTTGGTGCCCAAATAGCTAATGTCAAAGTTTTCTAGTTTAAACCAATAGGTTCGTTTTATGCATAATCATTTGGAACGATAATATCTCTCCACTGCTTGCATAATCCGTATAAAAAAAACTTTTGTTGGATCAACAGATCAAGACTTTGTCCAAGAATTAGGCTTGTTCCTTAACACAAAAGTGCAAGTTGCTTACAATGGTGGATGGACACATTTCGTGGGGTTTGTTTTTTTTTATTTCTTATGCGATATTCGTGGTAGCATTTAAAAAAAAAAAAAAAAAAAAAAAAAAATTGAAAATAATGGTTCATGGAAACTAAAGTCACAGATTCAACTTTCTAGTGTTTGAACAAATGAATTACAACTGATACATCAGACAATACTGTCAAAATCACGTATTTTAGAAAGTGTTTATTTACACGATCCTTAAATCATCCAAGTCAACTGATATTCAAATCCCAAAATTGCTATAGTTCAAAAAATATATATATATAAATGAGGTGATATGTATGTAGGTTTTCGTAATTACATTCTCTTTACATATACATGATGTATTATAGAATCATATATAGTTGAATAAAGAATACCATAATAAGGGAGGAATTTACTTGCTATCGAGCATTCATAAGTGTTACGGTGACTTCATTGATAGAATCCAATGTTGGGGCCGATGACAAAGAGTTGATTTCTGTCACAAACCTCTCTTCCGCAAAAAATGCAGGTTGCTTAGGTGGAGGCAAATAGTTCTCATTACCCAGCATAAGAACCACTGACGACATCGTGGGCCTATCTTCTGCATGATGTTGCACACATAACAAACCAATATGCACTGCCCGTAGTACTTGAGAGGCCACACATGAGTCTCGCACAGATGAGCTAACTAGCTCAACCGACTTTCCCTCTTTGTGGAGTTTCCATGCCTAATTATCAAGATAAGAAGTTATTAGCATAATCCAGGGCGTTAATATATAGTCACAAAATCCTATGTAATAATACATTTCACATTGATAGAGAGTAAGGATTATAAGCCACTTATAAGCCTTAAGGCTACAAATAACTTCCATCATGCATATATGGGGTGTTTCAGAATAACTTCCATCAAGCGATTAATGAGCTAGACTATAACTCGGGTATATATGGGGTGTTTCAGAATATAGGCCTCATGTATTTATTTACTTACATGTCCAATAAGGGTGTCATTGTAATCTTGTTGAGAAAATCCTCTATTTTTCTTCCCACTCACGATTTCCAACACCAAAACCCCGAAGCTGTACACATCCGACTTTACTGAGAAAAGGCCGTGCACTGCATACTCCGGAGAGATGTAACCACTGAAATGTAGTTTCACAAATTCATTGATCATGTATGAGAATTTTAAATGAAACTAATACAATCAAATGAGAATAGTTTAGATTCTTACTAAGTTCCAACCACTCTGTTTGTGTTAGCTTCAGTCTCATATCCGCTAAACTTTCTAGCAAGGCCAAAATCCGATATCTTGGGATTCATGTTCTTGTCCAGCAATATATTTCCAGCTTTCAGATCTCTATGGACGATTCGTAGGCGTGAATCTTGATGCAAATAAACAAGTCCCCGAGCAATCCCATTGATAATATGAAAACGAAGAGGCCAATCAAGCATGATACTTCTAGATGCATCTGCCAAACAAAGTCACTAAATCAGTGTATATACAATTAACAAACTAATTACTATATATATCGGAAGTGACATGTGTGTATTCGAACCGAATATAAAGAAGTCAAGGCTTTTGTTCTCCATGAATTCATATATCAACATTCTTTCATCTCCTTGAATGCAGTATCCGAGAAGCTTCACAAGATTCCGATGCTGAAGTTTGGCAATACATCCAACTTCATTCTTGAATTCATCAAGACCTTGTGACGAAGTTGCTGAGAGTCGTTTCACAGCTATTTCTCGTCCATCTTCAAACACACCCTAAAGATCCACGTTACCGATATATTATTAGCTATCTTTCATATGTAAATACTAATTACTGTTTTTCACATAAAGAGGGAATGTAATGTATTACCTTGTAAACTGGACCAAACCCACCTTCACCAAGCTTATTGTCGAGAGCAAAGTTGTTAGTTGACTTAGCAATCATGGACAAGCTAAACGCCGACAACTCTGTATCTTTATTACTATCCTCATCATTGGTATACTTCTCCTCACGAGCTTGCATCAAAGCTACAAGTTAGGATATATATATATAATTAGTGTGTCTGCTAACTTTAGTATTATATACACAAGAAAAAAAAAAAGAACTTGGTTGGGGTACCTTGTCTTCTCTTGCGAGATCTTTTCTTCTTTCTCCATGCTACATACAGTGCTACAATCAGACATACAATAAATGAACCAATTGCAGCTGACACAGCTATGGTGATCGTTGGTTTCTTCTTTCCAGACCCTGAGCCATTTTCTGGGAAAGTAGGGCCTTTATTCAATCCAAATAAAAATGACAGCTGATCATCAGGATGATATTTTGTACATATACACACGAATCATATACAACTACAATTAAAGCTTCAATAACAGAGATGGAAATGGAGAAGAGAAGCCTTACTTGGTAGTTCGGAAGCAGGCATTCTTACGTAAAGTTCTTGTGTTTCATCATACACCCGAATATCCATTAAATCACCGAACCATAGCAAGCATCCGCTTCCACCATTTCTGATATCTAAACTCGCATAAGCTGTACAAGAGCAATTCTCTTTGCAAGTTGTTTCACAATCATCAAGTGTCATGTTCAAATTGTACACCGAACGATTTGTATCTGGGAATTTTACACCTGAAAGTGTACGAAATCCATCCCCATTCCCACAAGCTAATGGTGTTATCCTTTGACACCCACTTGACCAGTCTGCTAAATCCCATTCTTCAGGGCGCCGTGGTTTAAACCCTTCCAGGCAACTACAAGCAGGGGCGTTGTTGATGTTGCAGTTTCCATATGGACCACAGATAGCATAACGCGCACAAGCATCAATGTTACTTGCAGTCGAATAGACAGTCCAATTTTGTGTGCGATTGACCCAAATCAAGTCTTCGATTCTGCCATCCGCACTCAAATGCATCCTGGAAATAAGCGAGTTGTTCACAAGTGCATATTCATAGTATATCTCATTCTCATTGAAAACAAACCGGTGTGTGAATATTGAATTTTCGCCTAAATTAGGCATGCCATTGAATGTAACACCATTCCATGGTCCGAATCTCGATACTGGAGCCATATTTTGCCTCTCAAAAAGTTGTGGATACCCATTTGTATCCACCCGAAACACATACTGACCTGCAGAAGGAGAAGGGTCATCATCGCTCCTCCATGACCTCAAGTATGTTTCTCGTCCTGTTATCAAATCCACGCCGATTCTCATTCCTGAGAGAAGGGTGTCTACAGGATAATCAAAACTTTGCCAAATTAAAGTTCCCTGATCCCTCAGAACAAGATTTCCAGTATCCAAAAGCTGTGCCACCAGATCGCCATCCCTGTTAGATGCGGATGAATTTGAAGACCAGATTACAGAATTATTACCAGTGAGAACTTGGAGTGCACCCTGGCTAACTCTGAGCACACCAGACGTATCATTCAATGGAGTCTCTGTGTTTGCAACCCACACCACCGTACGGGTTGGTATCATCTTGTACCATATCCCTACGTACCAATTATTTGATGTGCCAGGTCTGAAGAACCCCATTTCAAAGATTTCACCAGCTGAAACAATGGTGTCACCATCTGTGATGGTTCGATTTGCTGATATGGTGTCTGCTGCTGCTGCAAAAGTTATCAAAATTGAGATTAGAAGGGTACCAAAGCATAAGAAGAATATGGTAAGCTTCTCCATGAATGTGAACATGTCCCTCGTTCATATGTGGATTATGTGTGGGTTTAAGCCGTAAACGGCATGGGCCAAAAGAAACAAACTTTCCTGACAGAGGAAATTTAGAGGCAAAATTCAAAGATGATGGTCCCAGTTGAGATAATTAGCAACCGCCCAAGAAACACGCAGTTGACCAGCTATTTTCAACAACACCCACTTGCTATAATGGTCGAGCATTTTGGCATTTAGGTCGATCGACTTGCCACACAAGTTATGTAGTATTAATTAAAACTAGAAATCCCAAGTAAAATGATAGAACACATAAACGCTCGATCACGATGGTCTGAGTGTGACGGGACTTGTGGGTATCCATGAGTGGGGCCAAATAAAGGTTTTCACCAATCCCAATGGGTTATTCTTATTCTTTCTGGGTGAGAATTTTCGGATTTAAAAGCAATGAAAAATTGTCACTGCACCTCTTTAAAAATTGATGTGGTATGTATTTTTTTGAGGTTTCAATCCAAACCTCGATTTTTTTTGGATTTATGATCTTTTTGGTTTAGTTTGTACGCATAATTGGTCCCTTCACTTAACTTCCGTTAAATTATTGATGTTAACCTCCTCGTGTGCCTCTCACGTGAGTGTATATATGTTTTTTCTTTGCACTTGAAAAAAATATATCCCCTTTTTAAAAAAAGAATTCATACATATTTATTTATTTTAATAATTAAAAATAAAAGATGCCTCTCTCTCTCTCTCTCTCTCTCTCTCTCTCTCATCAAATTAACTTCATATATAACACTCTCTCACTCTCTCATCAAATTAACTTCATATATAAACACAGGTACCCACATATACTTTTAGAGAGAGAATGAGATAAACCTCATTAATATGTATATATAGAAAGAAAAATGACGTCGCCTCCTCATGTAAACATATTTTATTGTCTAGGGGGAATTACGCTTACTTGTTTGTGGGTATCAACGAGAAGGATGAGCTTATGCAAGCTCAGTGGTGTCGCTAGTGGGTTCGATGGGTTTGTGACTAGAACACCCTTCACATCCAAGTTATGCATTTTTGCTTGTTCGTATGCCTCTTTGAGGGTTAATTCGGTTATTCTAAAACCATTTGGAGGAAGGAAAGTTTCTTCAATAGTGAATATATGAATGGTTATCGTTTTTTAATACAACTGATTCAGGATTGTTCTTGATCCATGATTCCAGAAAGTTGAAGGAGAGTTGATTTGAACGAGACCCAACTGAATGATATCGCTGAGATTTTCATCTCCTTCAAACAAACACCTCGCCATTGACCCTCCCCCATTAATGTAACTAGAAAGAAAGCTAACCCAGTCCACATACCAAGGTGATATTATTATCCAGATTATGAGTTACTGGTACTGGTGGGATAAAAGTGGAAAATGATAAAGATGTGTTAATAACAAAATACTCACATTGGCATTTACACAAACAGTTGGAGTGTGTTCATATAGATTAGATAGAGATGTGATGGATACGTACTAGTAGGTCCAAGAGAAGAGGGGTATCGATTTCTTAAACTTTACAAGCTAAAGAAAGACAAGCGATCGTAGCTAACTAATTCATCCATACCTTATATTGCTGAAAGGAATCGCTCAACAAGAATAGTTTTTTTAGTGTTGCAGGTGGGCTATTGCATGTTGCAGATGACATATTGATATGGTGTTTGTTGGCTGATGTAGATCGATTGGTATAAGGATTGAATTACACGAGTATCAAATTCCAGTAAAGACGAATGTGTGGTGATAATTTTTCTAGAATGAGGTGATGATAAAGAAAAGATAATGGTGATTGTGTTGTTAAGAAGATGGTGGTGTGTCTACGATGATTCAGATTTAGACACACACCTTCAAAAATGAAAACACACATAGACACAAATCGAAATTGTAGATGAATATACACCCATAAATCGATTTGCAAAAACAAAACCCATACACAAATTGATTCAATGGACCATCATCAAGAAAAAAATGGAGTATATATGTATATGTTCTTGATTGTGTTTTGGGTGGAGAGAGAGAGAGAGAGAGAGAGAGAGAGAGAGAGAGAGAGAGAGAGACTGTGTGTGTGAGTGAGAGAGAACTCTTTTATTTTTTAACTATTAAAATAAATAAATAAATAGGTATTAATTTTTTAAAAAACAAGGAGATATTTTTTCAGGTGCAAAAATGGCCCCTCATTAGTGAAAAGACATATATACCCTCATGTGGGAGGCACATGAGGGGGTTAATAGCAATAACTTAACGTAAGTTAAGTCGGGGGACCAATTCTGCGTACAAACTATACCAAAAGGACCATGAATCCAAAAAAGTCGAGGTTTGGATTGAAATCCCAAAAAAATGCATACCACAGGGACCATTTTTGCAGTTTTGTCTTAAAATTTTAACATAACCTCTGGTTATTTATTTATTTTTTGATATATTTTTTATTATTTTTTTTTTACTTTTGAAATGCACCGCAGTCTATGCGGTTGATCGTATTTTATTGGTTATCAATAGTTTTTTTTATATTTTCTAAACATTTACAATTTTTTATTTTTTCTAAACATTTTAAACTTTTAAGAAAAGCAAAGTCAACACACAAAGAACGACTAAGAGTCATCAAATGCTATTAAATATGATGGATAATTAAAGCTCACCGGAAAATTTAATCTTAATCTGAATAATTGACATTGTTAGAAAAATTCTTCACCGAAATATGTAAAGTTATTCCGGCCGAAAACATTCAGTGCCTCATCTGAGAACCGGTAGCCGTTGACGTTGTCCTCTTTTCCCGTTCCACCCAATTGCGTCTTCTCTGTTGGTATCCTTTGTCGTCGTCGCCATTTTCTGCTCTTCGTGTGTTACTGGAAAATAAAGCATTGCTTCTCTCCGTCTCAGTCTCAAGTAATTTGCTCTCTTTTACTTTCCAATGTACATCCTTTTGATTTCACCATGTTCTTCTGCTTTTATTTCCCCCAAACCAAAGTCAAACGAAACTTATAAGTTATATCATACCACAGATACCAAGCCACAAGGAAAAAAAAGATCTTCGTATGAGCTATACAACCGAACACCCTCAAGTGTTCGATATTAGGTTTTCTTCTAGACCAACACTCATATAACGTGATGTCCTTTAAGGCTTTCGTAGACACTCGGTTGAGTACGTATACCGCGTGTCTTGCTGCTTTTCCCCACAACTTTTCTGGGACAACTTTGAACTTCAAAATCGTCTGGATCATCTCCACTACAGTTCTATTTCTCCTTTATACAACCCCATTTTGTTGTGGAGTGTAGGGTGTCGTGTAATGATGCTTGAGGTAGGTTTCATCGCAATAATTTTCGAATTACTTTGACTAAAATTCACCTCATCTGTCAGTTCTGAAAACCTTCATCTTATCCCCTGTTTCATTTTCTACAAGAGTCCGAAATCTTTTGAAAGTGGTATACGTTTCATCTTTAGTCTTCAAAAGATAAATCCACAAAACTCGAGTGTAATCATCCACAAGAAGTAGAAAATATTGTTTACCTATGGTGTAACAGGCATTATTGGTCCATACAAATCACCATGGACGAATTTGAGTCTTTTTGTTGCTCTAAAGTTTGTCTGAGTTGGCTGTGGATTTCTCACTTGCTTCCCGATCAGACAACCCTCACAAGGATTCATTGGAACTCGTAGAAAACAACTTTCTTTTCTGCCATCTATTTAGTGGAGGTGAAATTCACGTGACCTAGAAGATCATGCCACAACCAACATTTCTTCACACTGTTCACACAGCACGCACTTTCCCCAACCTCGTTCAAGGTAATTGTGTACAACCGATTAGGCGATCTTTTGACCTTCATTAACAACCTCTCGGTGTGATCATGAACCCACAAAAAATCTCCAAGAAGGAGTATATTATCACCTCCTTCAGCCAACTGTCCCAAACTTATAATATTACCACATAAGCTTCGGATATAATAGACTCCCCGGAGCAATCTTTGTTCGCCATTTTTACACTGGAATAAAATCGCCCCTTTTCCTTCTATACGGACTCTTGATCCATCTCTAAATTTGACATAACATTTTACTTTATAATCGATTTCACGAAACTTTTTTTTTTCTTCTTTCATGTGATTACTAGCCCCGTTATCCAAATACCACACTTTGGATTTGCTTGTCTTTTCCCCATCAGACCTTAACTTTGGAGTAACTCTCTTCTCATTCTAAAATACTTTATCAATAACTTCATTGGTATTGAATGCGGACAGCAACAAAGGAGGTTCATCATCATTATTCATTACTTGGTTGAGGTTGGCTTCTTGATTCCGTTCTCGACGAGGATTCCGACATTGAGCGGCACAATGCCCGAAATCTTGACAGTTATAACACTGTATTCTTCTCCTCTCTGTGTTACTTCTGATCTGCAACCTCCTTCACGATTCTAGTGAAAACTGCTACCACGTCGCCCTCTGCGACTAGACTAGGTACCACCTCTCCCCCGACCTCTTCCTCGACCACGAAAGTTACCATTCGACCGGTTATCACGTTGAGGTGGTTTCTGACTTTCATTTCTCTTTTTATTTTCTTTATCAACCCACTCTTGGTGAGTTAACAAAAGCTTTCCATCTGTTGTTTCTGTGTTCTCACAGTGACCCCGGATTCGCTCTTCATGAGCCTTCAATCTCCGTATAATCTCTTCAACTGTCATCTTCTCCAAATCAGCAAATTGTTCAATAGTTGATGCTATTTGAACAAATTTCGATAATATTGCACGGAGTAGTTTTTTCACTACATAATCTTCTTCGATTTTGTCACCCAATGAGTGTATGTTATTCACAACATTATTCACTTTCACAGTGAATTCATCGATAGTCTCCGTGTCCTTCATACTCAAGATTTCGAACTCCGCCGTCAAGGGTTGGACTCTCGCAGTCTTAACCCTGTCCGCCCCCATGAACATGGTCTTGAGCGCTTCCCACACTTCCATGGTCATTTGTTTCCCCGCCAACAACAACAATATATCTTCTGCTATACCTTGATAAATGGCCGTCATTGCCATCTTATCCTTCTTTGTTTCGACAACTATGTTCGAGGTACGAGGTTCGACTGTGTCCTAAACACCTTGAGCCTGCATAAATACACACATTTTGATTGCCCACGCTGCATAATTGCTTCTCGAAAGCATAGGGTAGTGAAGGGTGTTGGGTCTGTCTTTTTCAGTGTTTCTATCACTCATATTTTGTGTGCGTGGTTGATAGTTGGTCATACACCAAATTTAGCTTTGATACCAAATAAAAGTAGACTACCAAGATCAAGCCAAAACACACACTCATACACATATTTCACAGAGAGAAAAAGATGCATCAAGTTTTTCGTCTATTTTATTAACTACAAAAAGGAAACTGCAATAGTACTTAAACAAAGGAAATGCAAGCTACCTAACCTCCCACTTCTTGGCTACAACAGGAAAAACATAAAACGTGGCCTACATGGCCTAGAAATATTCAAACTTGAAACTAGGAAACAAACTTGACATAAGATACCCTTTAATTTCTGAATTATACCAACAAGATTGTTTTTTATGAACTTACTCTGATAATGAAGTTGGCATTGGTAATTATAAGAAAACAAGTCTTTGCATATTGAATATCAAATTTGTTTTTGTTTTGATGTCTGGTAAGTGGATTTTATAGATGAATCTCTTCATGCACACTATGTGTTTGATTAATTGTCTGTATGAATGTTGAGTGCTATATATGTGTTTTCATGATTTGGTTAGTGTTGCTTATAAAAATATACTTAAAAGTAATGCACTTATGTGTATTATGTGTTTAGCTAATGTATGTCCTCTTTTGTAAATAGTTAATGTATGTACTCAGTACTCTTTTATGAATTGCTTTCTTGTATGTGTGTAATGTATGATTTCGAAATCTTCATATATTTTATGCAGACACTATTTTATTTCTGGTCATTCCATATCATCAATTGAAACATAATGCATGTATAATCTTAACAGATTTATTGAAAGTAAGTCTTATTCAAAAAATTGTATTATGCAACAAAACATATTAATGTATGATTTCGAAATATTCATATATTTTATGCAGACATTATTTTATTTCTGGTCATTCCATATCATTAAATGAAACATAATGCATGTATAATCTCAACAGATTTATTGAAAGTAAGTCTTATTCAAACAATTGTATTATGAAACAAAACATATTTAAGGCCCATAGATTCTACATTATTTTTGTTGATGCGTCTTTAACATATGCATGCGAAAAAGAAAAACAAGAACTTATGATCAGAAAATGGAACTTGACATGAACACATACATATTATCGAGGTTCAAAAGTTGTCATTGTTATGCCATTGCCAGAAATTAGGTAACGTTGAGGCACACTCCCTTTGGCAAAAAAATGCAGGTTTTTTAGGTCGAGGTAATGCACCTTCTTCACCAAACATCAAAACCACAGATGACATAGTTGGTCTGTCATTTGCATGATGTTGGACACATAAAAGACTGATATGTATTGAACGAAGTATTTCTGAGGCTACACATGAATTACGCATATGCACACCAAGCAACTCCATAGCCTTACCTTCTTCAAAGAGTCTCCATGCCTAAAAAAATGTAGTAACCCTCACCAAAATAAAATTATATATATATATATATATATATATATATATATATATATATATATATAATTGATATTTAAAAAATATTTGAAAAAATAGTTGTATTAGGGAAATTAAAGAAAATAAAAATATAAACAAATTATGGCACAAAACTCATATATTGGTTGGTGGAAATCATTCCCATATATATGGAGTTCACCGGTGAAAAAACTTACATATGCAAGAAGATTATCACTGCCATTTTCATATGAGAATCCTCTATTTTTTTCCCCGCTTACTATTTCCAGCACAAGAACACCAAAACTGAAGACATCTGATTTTTCGGAGAAAATCCCATCTAGAGCATACTCTGGTGATAAATAACCCCTGTAAGGAAAATTCACGAACCTTTAAACATTTGTATATATATATATATATATATATATATATATATATATATATATATATATATATATATAAAGTTGCATGATTAACTAATGGATGCTTACAAAGTTCCAACTATGTTGTTCGTATTTGCTTCATTTTCATGTTCTGTAAACATTCTAGCGAGTCCAAAATCTGATATCTTAGGATTCATATCCATGTCCAACAAAATGTTGCTTGCTTTAAGATCTCGATGAACAATTTTAAATCGTGAATCTTGATGAAGATAAAGGAGTCCTCGAGCAATCCCATGAATGATGTGAAAACGATCTGACCAACCTAGTATCGAACTCTTGATTTTATCTGCCCAATATAACTAATTATCAATATGATTTACCTTAAAAAAAATAGAAAACAAGCAATGTGAACTGGGATGTAATGTGTCATTGAAAGTAGAGTTGTACCAAATATGAATGAGTCCAGACTTTTGTTAGGCATGTATTCATAAATCAACATACTTTCATTTCTTTGGACACAGTATCCCAAAAGCTTTACAAGATTCCGGTGTTGAAGTTTAGCAATGAACTTAAGTTCATTCTTGAACTCGCCAAGACCTTGTTTTGATGTTTTGGATAACTTTTTCACTGCTATTTCTTGTCCATCATCTAACACACCCTAAAGATTGAAATATATATTTTTTATATTCTCCAAAGGATTCGAATCTGTTTTGCAATTATGAACATAAAATTGAACAATGATTAGTTAATTTTGCTACCTTGTAAACGGGGCCAAAACCACCTTCTCCAAGCTTTGTGTCATTTGCAAAATTATTAGTAGATTTGGATATCTTACTCAGGCTGAAAGACAATAACTCTGTATCACCGTCTTGGCTCTCCATGATATACTTTTCTTCAATGGTTTCTACTGGTTTATCTGCAAATGATAGCAAACCAAACTAATACGAGTTAATGAACGATTTGTTGTGTTTAAAATTGTTATATGAGTGATCACTTTATCAAAAATAATCATAGTATTACCTGGTAATTTTACTTGTGATCTTTTCTTCCTCCTCCAAGTACCATACAAGATTGCTAAAATCAAAATCACCATAACAAGGATAGATAAAACCACACGTACAATCTTTTGTCTCTTTTTATTGGAGCCAGTTGGTTTGGAGGTAGATTGTGGGGTTGACGGAACTAGTAAGAAAACCATAATAAGTAAATACTAAATACTGTGAAAACCCAAACTAACATGAACGTACGGTTATATTAAACGATTAGATTGATCACAAATACATAATAAAAACCCAAACTGGAGTTTGTTATTGTAAGGTTTCATACCTTAATGATGATTTTGTCATATTAAATAAGTAAAAAATTACTAATTAAAATAGTTAAAAATGGTGTCTTATAGAGTTTTTAAACAAAAACATAAATATTTATTGATTACTCGTGCTTTGAAAATTGTTTACCATTTAGATTAACATTGTAGTTTTATTAATAAAATAACTTAAGACTCCTCGGGCGTTGGTTTCTCACGCTTTTAACCCTCGCTGATGCTTAGGGATGTCAACGGGGCGGGGAGTGCATCTCCCCCCCCCCCCCCCCCCGAAATTTCCCCACCCGTCCCCGATTGATTTTGGGCTACTTTTTTTTAGCTAAAAGAAGTTGTTATTTAGGCTAAAATAAACTATTTTTTAGGTAACAAATAATTATTTATAATAAAAATTTTATATGTTAAAAATAAAAAAGTTATGGCATTTTAAATAATTATACTAACAGCTTAAAAACATGTTTTTTGATGAATTTTGGAAGCTCAAAATCATGTTATAGTTTATTATATTTATATAATTAATATATGTAAATATATGTGTAATTTATTAACGGGGTTCCCATGAGGATTTCGGGATGGGATTGCCTACCCCTGCCCCCGCCCCCGAAATTAAAACGGGGGTTAACCTTGCCCCCGCCCCAGATTTTTAAAAAAAAATCCCCGAAGCGGGACGGGGCCCCCACGGGACTTTTTGACATTCCTACTGACGCTCATCTTCTTCCGTTAATGGTTACACGACCTCGCTTTTTGCTTCTGGTCTCCCTACTTTCTTTTTTCTTTCTTTCTCCATCTGCGTCATCTTTGTCTAAGTCATGATATATAATGGTCGGTCAATATTAGTAGTTTGAAGGAATAGCCATTTGAGCGAGACTTATCTTACAAATTTGTGCGACGACCCTTTTGGTAATCAAGAGGAGAGTACATTTGACTGAGAGGCTGAGACGCATAACAGCCAACAGGTACTAATCAGAAGATGTGATTTGCGTATTGGGTTAGACAAATTCTTCAATTTGATTGAAGGATGCTGTTGGATTAATCACAAGATGATCAAACGAATGTATTTTATCAAGACTCATGTCGACAGAGATTTATGGAAGAGATGATTTTTATATTGGGTTGAGTTTAATTGATGAAACCCACACATTCGTTGAGTTGATTAAAGGATGCACTTGGATTAAACCTTCAAATGATCGATTTAGTAATGCAGCTAGGTGTAAGCGTCATGTATTAAATGAGTGTATTTAAAACAATTAAATATGTATAAACATTTGAGAAATTTGAATTTATAAGAAAAATGAGAAAAATATTGAATTACTAAAATTAAAATGTTTTTTTTTCTTTTTTAAATTTAAACAAATCATTTAGATAAAATAATCAAAGCAAATCAATGAGATTTTATTTTAAATATTTGAAGTTATAAGGAAAATCCATTAATAAAATTAATATGCATTTATTATTAAATTTAAATATCATATGGAATAAAAATTAATTCAAAATAACCACAAAATGACATGTGGCAAAATGAATGACAGTATGACAAGTGGCAAAAAAACACTTTCACTTATTAGAGATATATCATAAAAGACATATTATTATTCTTTCCAAAGTTGTAATCTTGTCTTCCATTGACAACTATATCTTGCATACAGGGGTGTATATATATCGATTTAGTTATCTAATATCATACATCTCAACTTCATCTAATTTGCTTTGATTTATATTTAGAGTTTCATCTTTACCATTCCTTCGCCCAAATTAAACCTGTGTCTTATATGGTTATCTCTTCTTAATTTAACATTTTTATACCAAAGTGTCTTTGGTCTAGTGGTAAGGAGTGACTCTCTAAAATAAGAGTTCTTAGGTTTATGTCTCACTAAGAGAGAGATATGGGTCTTACTAAATAGATTCTGATTTTCTTAAGGACCCTCTCATTAATAATTTTTTAGGTATAAATTTCTTAGTATTTATAATATCAATAACTTGTATGATTATTAAAAGCTATTTTTTTAAACTTGTATCTATCATTTAATTAGTATCAACTTTTTATTTATTATATATTTTGTTCTTTTATAATCAAATAATAATACAACGTGTCAACGGTTTTTATATATTTTAATATTTTTATAAACCAAGAAATAAAAATAAAATGATATTAAATATTTAAATGAAAACTAAGTATTATTAATAGAAAATGTAGTGATAGTATATATATCTACCATTGTTTCATGTATGTACACAAGTGAAATGAAAATCTACACATCAAAAATCTCATTCTTCCCTTTTATGTAAAAACAGAAAAAATAATTAATTTTTTTATTTAACATATTTTATTTTATAGATTTAAAAAAAATAAATATATTTTTATTTTAATAATTTTTATAAAAATGATATTTTTTTTTCTATAAATAAATGTTTATATTGAACCCTTTTATTATGTAATGATTAGTTTTATTTAAAGTAAAAATATAAAAGAATCATGAATGATCTAATATTATGTAATGATAATAATTAATAAAAAAATAATTATTTTATAATAATTAGTTTATTTTAGAAAAAAAGTTAAAATAATTATTAAGAATCATTTAAGAATATAGTGGACATATAAAAAAAATAACATATGTAAATAATCTTACTTGTAATATTTAAGGCGGAGACAGCCATTCTTACGTAAAGATCCTGGCATTCATGATCCACTGTTCTAATATCCATAAGATCATCGAACCACAACAAGCATCCACTTCCGTTGATTCTGATATCAATATTTGCATATGCTGTACACGAGCAATTTTGCTTGCATGCTGTCTCACATTCGCCAAGTGTCATGCTCCGATTGTACCATGAACGCCGTGTGTCTGGCATTTTAACGTTTCTAAAGACTCGAAAACCATCCGCATCCCCATTCCGACAATCTAAAGGTGTTCTACGACGACACCCACTTGACCACTCGGATGCACTCCATTCGCCTGGGTTCCGTGGTTCGAACCCTTCCATGCAACTACAAGCCGGTGAGTTCTTCGGGTTGCACCTTCCATACGAACCACATAGTCCGTAACTGCTACACATGTCAATATTCGCGTTCCAGTATAGGAACCACATTTGTGTTCTTTCGATCCAGTTTAGTCGTAACAGCACACCCTCCGGAGTAAAGTAGATACGTGGCGTCACGACTGAACTGTTAACAAGCGTGTACTCGTAGTACACCTCCTTATCATTCAAAACAAATTTGTGTGTAACTAAGGAGTTTGAAGTATGACTAGGCATGGCATTGAACGTAAGACCATTCCATGGTCCAAACCTCAAATAAGGAACAGAATCTTGTACCTTTTTGAACAACACTTGAGGAAACCCGTTTGTATCCATGAACGATTCATATGGCCCAGGCGAAGGGTCGTCGAGGCTCTTCCATGACGTCCACCGCCTATCTAACCCAGTGACCAGATCCTTCCCTAATTTCATCCCAGGAAGGAACGTGTCTCCGGGGTGATCAAAACTTTGCCAGATGAAACTTTCTTCGCTAGTTGTTCTTACAACCAAATTTCCGGTGCTCAATAGTTGCGCCAGTACTGGATTTACGTTTGTGGGAGATATCGGGCCAGGGTTAGATGACCAGACGATGGTGTTGTTGCTACCAGCGATAACCAACAGGGATCCGTTGGTGTCAACTCTGAAGACACCTGACAAGTCGGTTATTGGTTTCTCCCTGTTGGCAACCCACACCACTGTCTGTGGGGATTTGTTTTTGTACCATATCCCCAAATACCGGTTCATAGACTTTCCGGGACTAAAAAACCCAACTTCATACATTTCATCGGCTGAAACAATGGTATGCCCGTCACGGATGACTTCATCAGCTGCTATGGTGTCTTTTGCCTTACAAATCCCTAAATCATGCATTAGTAGGCCAAATGTTAATATTAATAAATAATAATGGACCTCCATTCAAGTTTTGTTTGGAAAATTGTTAATTCATTTGGAATATATATTCAGTTTTCCGAAGAAGTTGTAAGGGTCGGATCAGAAGAAGACTTTAAGACTTGACCGTTGACTTGATGAGTCATTCTCCAAGATTTTTCTCCACAAATTAGACGTAGATCTTTCAATGGTGAGATGTCATTGAAATACAAATACTTTCACAAAAATGGACCCTCTTACGAATCAACAACCAATTTATATCTTTTAATCAATTGGTCAAACACGGCACATTTGGTCTTACGACGACACCAGCACCAAAACGGCAAAACCCGTTTTCTACGTTGGTTATGAGATTACGAGCAGCATATGGGGTTTTTAGTAGACTAGTCCACAATTCGACGTACATGATACGCGTATTACATATATTGTAATATTTTTAGGCCCGAAATTTTATTCACATTCGATAAAGAATGGTCGACCGGATTAATAGAATCAACTAAAATTCTAATAAGTAATTTTCGTAATGGGATTGCGCAATAATTGTAACATCCATTACAAGAAATGTTGACATTAGCGGCGCCGTAGGGCAATAGCGGCGACATGTAATTGATGCGTTACATGTCGCCGCTATTGCCCCGTATCGCCACTAATGTCAACTAATAGCGACCGCGTCAAATAAACTTCATCCGTCCGATTTGTTTTCAGTCGAAGGGTCGTAGAGGAACGTAAAAACGCGTTGACTTTTCCCTCGAAGGTGTCGCTGCTATTACCCGTCACCGCCAAAGCGCGTTACAGATAACCCCCCTTCAACTTCGTTTTCTGTGTCTTTCTTTCTGTTTCCTTTTCTCTATCTCGTTTCTGTGTGGATTTTCTTTCTTACTGTGACGACAAGAACGAAGCTAGAAACCAACAACCATTCCCTAGCCGCTCCTACCGCCGCAACAACCCCCCCCCCCCCCCCACCCCAATCCTCCATAACCGGCGACCTAGACACTTCATATCGGCGACCCTTCAACTCAATTCCGAAATTTTGACATTGAAGGTCGAATTCCTCCCTATTTTCTATAATTTTTATGTTTTGGTGCTAATTTGGATGATAAATTGTTAGTATTCTTCAATTTTGTTGAGTGAGTATCTTTGTATTTTGAGATATGAAGTGTTTATGCATTTTGTGGAATTGTATATGTTTTTTTTTAGATTTGTGGGAAGTGTTTATGATTTTGTTTATGGTTTTCTGATTTATGTTTATACCACATTAGCTTAAAAATAAAATTTGGCATGAAATTGAAATTGGATGTATATATACACTTGTTTGATTTTTTATTTAGATGTATAGATTTGTATGAAATTGAGATTGGATGTGTGCATTTGTTTGAAATTGTATGCTTAATTGTATGAAATTGGAATATGCAAGTTGTATTGTATGTCTAAAATGAAATGAAAGTTGGAATTGAATGTATTGTATACATGTATGATTATGTGATATTTATGATTAATAGTTTGGCTTAATTAAGTTTTTAATAGCAACTTACTTCTAGTAATGTATTGTATATGGTTTCAAAGTGCTTAATTTTGTTAGTGACTTAATGTTAGTCATTACAACTTTATCTTAATTATGTTATTAATAGCAATGTACTTTTAGTAATTTTAATTTAATTATAGAATAAAATTAAATTAATTTTAAAAAAATAATAAATTGATTGTAAAATCAAATTCAGTTAGTTTTAAAATCAAGTTAATATTAATATTAAAAAAATTAAATTAGTTTTAAATATTAAATTAATAACAAAAAAAAATATTAAATTAATTAGAAAATCAAATTAAGTTACCTTTAGAATTAAATTAAATTTATTATAAAATCAAACTAAATTAGTTATAAAATCAAATTAATATTAATATTAATATTAATATTAAACTAATTATAAAATCAAATTAAATTAATGTTAAAAAAACTAATGACAAAAAACTATAATGATATAATGGAAAAACGAAAACCTCCTACCATTGTGTCTATGTACCATCAGAAACAACCAGTGACACAAGAACCACCACAATCACAGGTAATTGTTAGTTTATGTTGAAAAGTATAATGGTATAATGAAAAAAAAAAAAGGATTGCTATAATGATATTTTGGTAATTGTTTGTTTAGTGTATAGTCCAATGTTATAACGGAAAGTAGAATGCTATAATGATATGTTGGTTATGGTTTGATATGTTGATATTTTGTAGTTTGGTAATTTTTGGAAAGTAAATGCTATAATGGAAAGTAGAATGCTATAATGATTTGTTGGTTATGGTTTGATATGTTGATATTTTGCAGTTTGGTAATCTTTGGAAAGTACAATGCTATAATGGAAAGTACAATGCTATAATGATATGTTGGTTATGATTTGATATGTTAATATTTTTTTAGTTTTGTAAAATTTGGAAAGTAAATGCTATAATGGAAAGTAGAATGCTATAATGATATGTTGTGTATGATGTATGTTTAAGTGTATTTGGAACTTAGAATGCTATAATGATATGTTGGTTATAGTTATATATGTTGGAATTTTTATTTTGGTAATTTTTGGAAAGTATAATGCTATTATGATATGTTGGTAATATATTTTGTTTTCTTTGTAGTTGGAAATGCTGCAAACGAGACTAAAGGAATCTGCTTCTTCTGCAGTATTGGAAGAGTGGTTTCGCTCATTGTCGCCACCAAATAATAATGAAGGAAATGATGAGGACGAGTAGCTACTTTAGGATATTATTAAATGTTTTGTAATTTGGAAGAATACTTTAGGATTTTATGAAATGTTTTGTAATTTGGAAGAGTACTTTAGGTTGTGGTATGGATTAATATTTTGGATTCTGGAATAATATTAATTGTAACAACGTGAATTTTCAAAACAATTTTTTATTTTTCAAATAAAATAACACTCATTCAATATTCTCAAATTCTCAAGTTTAACAAATGTCATCATGATATAAACATATCCCAAGATCATAAAATAAATCTTCTGCCAGTGTGTATGGATCATGCCGGTGCCTTCCCGCGATCATTGATAATACCTGAAACACATAACACATAACATTGTAAGCATAAATGCTTAGTGAGTCCCCAAAATACCACATACAACACATATGTCACTTAAGGCCATAACTCTATGGGATCTTCCGATCCATGTGTCTCAGGGAACTTCTGTCCCAACTCTGGTAGACCTTCCGGCCCTACTCTTATGACCTTCCGGTCCTCATTATCTTGACCTTCCGGTCCATACACTGTTGAGCTTCCGGTCCATATCATGGTACTCATAACATAGCATAACACATACATATCACATAACAACATATATCACATACTCCGCATAGCATATGAAACCTTCCGGTCACACATAGTTACCAATCTAGGTAAAGTATAGTGAGAAGACTCACCACGTATACTGTCTAGTAACTCACGTGCTCGGTATCCTTGAACCTCGTAACAATGACCTTGCCCCTCCTAAACACATAAGAAATCATCTCAATTCAATAACGACTCTCCAGGCTAGACTAGTCTGTTCCAATGTTCTCTCAGAAGGCTAAAAGACCATTTTACCCTTCTAATGGTCCAAAAGTCCAAGTGTTGACCCAACCCTAAAAGTCAACGAAAGTCAACAGTCAAAGTTTGACCAGACTTGTTGAGTGCACATAGGTGACTCTGTGAGTCCAAGTGTATTCTCTGGTTCTTTCTAAACCTCACTTGACTCGTCGAGTGAACCTT